ATGAAGATGAGCAAAAACAATTATTGCCCTTAAATATTCATATCCCATTCAAATCATAATGATTCAAATATCCACAATTTATTAAAATTTTTGATTTTAATTCATTAAAGTATGGAGTCGCATTTTGGCTACGATTTCTAAGCAATCAGAGTGAAGTTTTAATTATAAATCATCTCATGAAGATGATTCTAAGATCATCCAATAAATTCGAACAATTAAAACTTCAGGGTGATTTGAATGATTTTGGAAGCAAATCATTATTAAAAGCTTTTGACAGCCTTACAATCGATTCATTGGCTTTTTCTAAATATCTCAATATTCATATCAAACAATTGCTAACGTTTCAAACAATAATTCCATCAAATTATTGTATCTTAATTTATGCAAGTTTAGTAAAGAAATTTGGAAACAACTTGTCAAAAACAAATCGATAACTTCATTAGATTTATCAGGAAACAATTTTATTAAAACTCAATTCGAATCAATCATAGAATTTCTCAAAAAAAATCAAACTTTAACTACGCTTATTTTAAGTTATATTAAGATCAAATATACTACTATCAGAAAAATGATCGCTAAACTCCTCCACAACAGCAAAACTCTAAAACGCTTAAGATTAAATGAGAATGCAATCACCTTTGAATGTGGAAATGCAATCTTCAGTGCTTTATTTGAAAACACTTCTTTGACATATTTGGATATTTTACACAACTTACTCGATAGCAAAAATTGCTTTATGTTAAAAACAATACTTCAGAAAAACACTTTCCTAATATTGTTAGATCTAAGCCACAATTCATTAGGCAAATCCGGAAACGAAATCAACTAAATCTTCAGCGCTTTATATGAAAATACTTCTTTGACATATTTGGATATTTCACATTATTCTCACTCAGATCATTTTCATTATTAAACATTTTTATTATATAATTATGAAGATACATCATGGGAGTAGTGCTGTTCACCGCAGATCACATAGATTACATGATGAAAGATCAAAAAGCATCGAATACAAAATATGTATAGATTTAAAAAATTGAACTGCATACATAAGATGTTTTATGACCGAGCAAATGCAAGATATGCCGCAGTAAAGTAAATAGAAGTGTACATAATATGACTATCCATCTTCGCTATCTGTTATCCTTTTTTTTTTTTTTTTTTATAGTAATCATGCAAAGATTTAGTTGCCAAAATGAAAATATTAAGCATCAAGAAGCACGTCATCAAGCAGCAGTTGGTGAGCATGTTCTTAAGCACTTTGCAACTCCTTTTCGGGTGAGAGGAGTGGGACTAGATATGATAAGCCAGATAAAACAATCGGGCAGCGAAAGAATCAAGCACTTTCAATCATCTCTCTAAATCTATTTCCTTAAATTACAATTCATTATCTCCCTTCTGATTTCTTTCAACTTCCTTATTTGGTTTTACGTGTTTTGGGTGATCCTTGCGATAATAACCCTTACGCTGACTACGTCAGCTTACAGGCCATTATTCTCACTCAGATCATTTTCATTATTAAACATTTTTATTATATGATTTATGAAGATACATCATGGGAGACAAAAAGAGGATCGGAAATGTGATTGAGTTTCGTTCAATTAATTATATCTATTTAAAATCCTATTTTTGTAGATATATTTTGCAGCACAGTTGAAAATGATCTAAGGTAAAGTGCTACCAATTGAAACAACTACCCCCCCAATACTCATAATTTGAGGTAGCATCAATCCGGCTTTCATAGCACCTGTTGCGCTACCAATACGTAAACTATGCCCTGAATACCTACTATCCAAGCCTGCATGACATGCCATTCTTTTTACTATTGAGGTCACCATTCTTGTTGTCATATGTTTTCCATACATATTCTCAAATAACCAATTACTATCTTCCACCTTACCTCTCATTTTTAAATACTCCAAGACTAGATTTACAGGACAATATCGTGACTTTGTGGAGTCTATTGGTATGAATTTCCCTTTTGCAAATTGGTCGGTTTTTGACCTATTAACTCTAACCCAACAGATTTCTTCGTGTATCTTTAGGTCCTGCACTTTTAAATTACATAATTTTCCAGGTCTTCTCATTGTGCGCAAACCTAAGGCCACTAAAGCACAGTCTCTCATCCAGAATAAGATTGAGGTGTTTTGGGGTGGGTTATCCACATAGTTTCTTAAAGCCTCTACGGGCAAGGGATCCCTTGGCCATGTTGCTTCCTTATTTTCTGCTGCTAGCTTTTGTAGCTTTTGAGTTAAATTTCGTATGTTAAAGTTCAATGTGGGGTCCTCATATCTATATATACGATGGTACTGACTGATTGCAATTATGTGAAAGCATGGGTTTACAGACCGTGATAGTAAGTCCATCCATATAATAAATATCATGATAGTTTCTGGTTTTGCTGGGTATGTGATCATTTTATGTAGATCACAGAAGGCACAAAACTCCTTCCATAGTAGTTGTAGGTGTTTTTCATATAGTGATCTTGGTAGTAGAACCTTATAAGCTCTAGATAATAGTGAGTCTAAAATTGTATTTTTATAATTTGAAATTTCCAGTTCGGGTTTTTCCAAGGTTCTGATGGTGTGTTTTCTCCTGGGCTTGATAGAAAACTCAGATTTGCTAAAGAAAGATCTAATATCTCTATTTGCTATTGGAAAAGAAGTAGCCACCAAGGGGCCGAAGGCCATATTGGTATCACTAAAGTTACCCTTGCACATGATTGTAGCGCATGCTCGAGTACTCTGTGTATTAGACTAAGGGGACAAATATAATTGCTCTCGTTTAACCAATTCTGAGTGAAGCAGTCAACTGCTTCTGTCTCTGGACAATGTAGGTGGCTGTTGAAATGACCCACCTTCCTTGTAAAATAGCTTGCCATTCTGTCTATTGTAAATAGGCCACATTGTTTGTTTGCCATTTCGAATAGTTCCTGATTTAGAGACCAGTCTGACTCATCGAATGTTCTTGTCAACTTGTCTGCAGGGTTCAACTTTGAAGGGACCTACAAAAACTCGTAGACTTGTATATTGTTGCATTGCAAAACTTCCATACTTCGCGCATTAATTCCTTTTGCCAAGGTCTTTTTTCTCTAGACTCCATTGTTTTTCTTGCTACACGATTGTCTATAAAGACAGTGATGCAGTGATGGACAATCGTGAGTGCAAATAACTCAAGGCCGAGTAATATTGCCATTGATTCGAGAACTGCAATATCAGTATGACTATGATAGTTTCCCCAATTTCTGAAAGCTTGCTTTTCTCCTATAATGGCTGACCATCCTGTAGTTGATCATCTATAAATACTGGTATTATTTCTGAAGGTCGCCAATGTTTCTTTTCTTTAGATTCTCTATCACCCAATTTATATCTATAATCGCTTGAGGTGTCAGTCGCACTGGGTTGTCCCACTCCCAGGGCTTCCTGTGTTCCGTATCTATAATTGAGTATAGTTTCAAACAGCATACTTTTGCATGTTTGAAAGCTCGATTAAACTTATTAATTTTCCTGCAGCCACAGAGAGATTCTGAACTGTAATTTTTTCTTTGGCTAAGATCTCTTTTAAGCAAAACACTACACTGCTTATTTTTGATTCTGGTGCTGATACTTTTCCTTTTACTGTATCTAATATCATTCTGTTGTACTTTGCTTTTTGTATAGGTTCCAAGTGTCCTTTTTCTGCTAAGATGAATCTGCAGTACTTTAAGTCTACTAATATTAGTAAATCTCTTATTTCTAATAATCGTTCGCGTGAAGGGTGTGCAATCCAAATATCGTCCACGTGATTGCTGCAAAATATTTCTTTCGACCTCCAATGCCCTATTAGGGCCCTCATTAACTTTGAAAAAATCCAAACTGCTTGACTCAACCCAAAAGGTAATACCCAATAATGATACCAACTCATCTCTATCCTGAATCTCAATAACCTTTGTGCTTTTTGATCTATTAATATATGGTGATAACCGTCCTTTAGGTCTAAAACAATTATCCACCAATTTCGACCTACTATTCTTAAAAATATTGCAAGACCCTTGAATTTGAATAGCTTTTCTGGTAATATCTTGTTTAATCGCCTGAGATCGATGATTAAACGCTATTTCTTTGGCCCTGATTTTGGCACTAGGAATATTGGTCTCACTTCTAACAATTAACTTGGTCTTGTTTTTCCTTTTGAAACCAAAACTATTGCTCCTGTTTCCAATAATCGATTTATCTCTATATTTAACCAAGAATGTTGATTTTCTGTAAGCGGATATTGGGGTGGGTCTGGTTGTGTTGTTAATTGGAATAATCCTCTTGGAAACAAAGAAACACCTTCCTTTACCCATTTTATCACTAGACTTGAGGCTTGTATTTTTCTGACCCAATAAACTACATGTTTCTCTATATGTATTCGACCTACTACTAGTATTGCTTGTTGAGTCTGAGCGTAGTCATTCATATTTGGTACCATCTTGCTGCCTATTGAACTTATTTCTATAGGCATTGTAACCTGTAACTGGTATCCAAATTGGTTGTTGGGTTGTTAGTTCAGGCTTTTGTTTGGGTCCGAAGTGCAGGTCCTTGCAAAGTGGCCATAACCGCCACAGATGTAACATTGGTTCTGATTTGTTGTAGTGTGTTTTTGTGTTTGGTAGGTAACTATTTCTCCCCTGCAGGTATCCTAGACCTCTCCCAATACTGTAGGTTTTTTGTCGCTTATTCTTTTTAACCTCTGCTAATGCTCTTGCCTTTTTAATTAATGAATCTTTGCCTTTTAGCCAATCATTTTGAATATTAGGTAAGGCTAATGCTATGTCCCAACCGAACCCTTCGGCCACTCTCAATGTAAATATTCTATCTTCGGTTTTTTTTCTAGCAACATTAATATGGTCTGCAACATCAGTTGTTGTTCTGGATTCTATTGCCAAGTCAAGTTCTTTTCCGATAGACCGTAATGCATCATACTTATATTGATCTCGTGACTTCTCGAACTTATATTTTGGCCAGGATTCCTTTACCTTAGCTTTATGCCTTGTTTCTTGTACTTGGTACGTTACTGTATTTAACTTATTATCAAACTTTAACAATGCATATTCTAATTTTTCAAATCCTAGCAACAACTTATCTTCTAAGGAACTTGAGATGTCTTCTTCTGCAAGTGATTTCCGCTTTTTCGTTTCTCTATCCACTTGTGACTGACAATCTGGTAACTTCTCCACATTTCTTGGTAAGTTGTCCAAGGGTATTCCCCATGTGGTACATTTTTCGGTTTGTAATAGGTCTCTTAGGGTCTGTGTACACCCTTCAGGGTTTATATCCAATACGCTGAGATTTCTGTATGGTCAGAAATTATTGAGATATTATCAGCGATTTCTTGCCCCAAATTACTTGTACTTGTTAGTGTCCCTTTTCTTTCCCTTTTCCATAATTTGTAACTCCCGAATACTCTTTCAATCTTTGGATTAGGTCTATTTTATTTCCTTCAGTTGATAAACCTAAGCTACTGCATATTTCTAAGAGGTCACTCTTTGATAAGTTTGACTCAGTCATATTGGTTACTTAGCAAACAACTAGAACGATAAGCCAGATAAAACAATCAGGCAGCGAAAGAATCAAGCACTTCCAATCATTTCTCTAAATCTATTTCTTTAAATTATAATTCATTATCTCCCTTCTGATTTCTTTCAACTTCCTTATTTGGTTTCACATGTTTTGGGTGATCCTTGTGATAATAACCCTTATGCTAACTATGTCAGCTTACAGGTTACAACTCACTTGATAGCAAAAATTGCTTCATGTTAAAAACAATGCTTTAGGAAAAACTAACTTAATCTCCTTAAATCTAAGCCACAATTCATTAGGCGAATCTGGACATTTAATCACAGAAGGTCTTTATAAAAATACTAATCTACAAAATCTATTCCTTCAAGATAATAAATTTACCATCAAAGTTTTTAAACTCTTCATCGACTATTTGCTTATCAATACAATGATATGTCTAAATTCAGTTTTTTCTTTAAAAGTAATTTTGAAGATAAAAACTCCAGATTAAAAATCGGTTAAATCAAGACAAATATATTAATATACAAAAAAAATAATAATAAATTATTATGATCTTTTTAATTCTGTTGAAATGATTTTTAAGCCTCTTTAATACTTTCGATTTTGTCTTTTCAATACGAAATTTAAGGGCTATGATTAGATATCAAAAACTTATTGATTTCAAACAATCTTTTCAAAATGCTAAAAAGCGAATATAGACTTATTGATTTTTTGACAAGTGTTGTTATTAACTTAATGAAATGTATTAGTACAAATGAGAATTTTCTATACAGTATTCAATTCAGATTAATAAAAATTTATCATATAAAAAGTTTATATTTTAATATTATGGGCATTTTAATTTTAAAATCAAATTTACAAATTTTATATGCATATGAAATTTTGAATCGTAAACTTCATAATTTAAAAAAAAAATAAATCTCAATTTGTTCGACTCAATGAAACTCACATATTATAGAATATAATACATAACTTTTAAACATAGCATACATATTATTCATTTCTATTTCTCTTGTTTGATAAGTTTATCTCAACTTTCTTTTTTTTCTCACTTGGATTTCGTTATTTGTTTTATTCAATATATTTTTTAATGATCTTTTAGCTGCCATTTTTTCGATGTTTGATAATTCTATGTAACAAGTTTAACCCACTCATCGCAAGCACCTTCTATTTAAAAGTCTATTAAGCCATTCTATTCATTAGTAACTACATCTGTAGCATTTACCAATATCACGTAACCATTATGGTCATGAACCCTCTAGCAAAGTCTTTTATTAGAACTTTAACTCCAGGAATTTTTAAAGAAATTCCAATTATAATCAAACAATCAGCTTTTTTCTTATCAAGTTTTGCTATTTCACTAATTTCCAATCCTTTAGGATATGAATCACTGTACAGGATTATTGTCGGGTTTAGCTATCCAATTGTATAAGGATACTTT